CCTCTATTTCCTATTCTCATTCCCCCTCCCTTCCCTTCATCCCCCTTTGTCTAATCCAATGAACTTCTATTCTTCTCCTCCCTCCCCTCCTTTGCTGTGAGTTAGCATCCATGTATCAGAGAGAACATTTGGCCTTTGGTTTTTTGGACTTCCTTCTTTCTGTCTGGAAAAAGGCACCATACCCAGAGGTGCAGCAGCCATCTTACAATCATGAGGATGAAGCCACGTGCTAAGGATGTTGGAGCAGGAAGACAGAGCAAGCCAGTGTCCCTGGTGATCTCCCTCAGTCTAGATCTCTATTGCCTCCCCACAGATTTCTCACTGATCCCTTCTGGTAGTTGGCTGATTCTTCCTAAATGACATATACATGGTGGACTCTCATTTTCTGCAAAGCAAGAGGTGAGGCAGAAGATGATAAGGGCATGGGGAAGGACTGAAATGGCTTCAGGTGGATATTTAAAATTGGCAACCTGTAGATTAACTGTGGGTTKTTTTTTTTCCAGCTGCACTCTGGTTGTCTGTACAAATCATTCARCTCCTGCCATCCTGAAACCCCTACAGACATTTGCTTCAAAGCAATCTATCCAGTGGGAGAGAAAAGGGGTGGAGGAGCAGAGGGAATACAAACAGAATAAGATCAACCATTTATTGATACTTATTGAAGCTAGGTTGAARTGGCACCCCCTTTCTCCACTAAAAAGTCTTAACTGGGCCTCTCCAGAAATCTTCACCCAGACTGATTTTAGGACTGCCAGCAAAAGAGTCTCTGCAAAAGAGTTCAATGTAGATAAACTTCCTATTTTTGTGTCACCTTGTTTTACTTGGCCACTGGCCGAGAAGATACCAGCACTCCAGGTTTTTTGGACTTCCTTCTTTCTGTCTGGAAAAAGGCACCATACCCAGAAATGCAGCAGCCATCTTGCAATCATGAGATGAAGCCACATTACTAGTTTTTCACAAACATATCCAGTATAGTACTTTGAAGAAATGTGCAAACAAGTCCTCTGGCCTTGAGCTGGAACTTCACAGAAATGTCTACATTTTTAAGATACGTTACAAATGGGCTCCATGGTAACTGCTGGCAGGGGAGCAAAGAAAAAGGAGAAGATGCTCTCCCCTTCTCAGTTATTGTCCTTGAAGGGTTAACTTGCCCAAAAAAAGTAAAAGAAAAAAAGCTGCTTTTATGTGAACTTCTGCAGACTGTGAACTTCTGAGCCCCTCCCCTTACATGCTGGGTATAAAACTCTGAAAATCCCTGAACTCAGGGTTCAAGGGGTTAATTGATTATAGCAAAAACTGTGCCCTCTGAACCTGGCTGCAGCCAAATAAAACTGTTTCCTGCTACCTTTGGTGCCTTGCCTCGTTCGTCCCTACAGCAGGGTGATGGGCTCATTTCATGTTCGCATTACTTTTGCACTTGAAAATTTCCAAGATAAAAATGTGTTTTTAAGGGGCAAAATGAATGGAATTGAAAAACAAAACTATTAACTACTATGGGTAGAACATGATTCATACATGTATTCTCACAAAGGAAAACCTTCCAGAAGCTGAAACAGGCAGTGAATAGAAGGTGAGTCTACACTGCTGGGCTGCCTATGTAGGCACTCACCCCACTCCTGAGTGTGAACTGGGAAAGGGGTGGCCCTCTGAATCCCTGGCTCTGTTCAGGATCCTGAGCATCTCCCACTTCACCTCCCTCTGAGTCCACTGGACTGCTGGACAAGGCTTGAACTTGGGCCTGACAGAGTTGCTGTCCTTTGACTGGCTTTCACAAATTGAAGTTGCTAAATGTCATGTGAAACTGAAAGACTCAGCTAACTCGTGCATCAGACAAAGACAGGCTTAAGTCAATGTTACCACAAAATAATTCAACCATGTAGATCAAGAGCTCCGATTTCTCTGGGGTGTTAGAATGGACACTCAAAAAAGTACTGGCATCTTTCCAAATCATAAAATTATTGATGAGTAATTATTTTCTACTTTTCTCCAGGCCTTTCTTTTTTCCCAATCAACATCAATATTTGCTACAGTAATTCCCAACTAAATAATGAGCTCATGGTTTTGCATTTGTGCCTGTAATTATCTAAAGATAGCCTCAAAGTTTTTTAAATCTTTATATATATATATATATCAGTTTGTGGCAATGGTTCTGAGACATTTTTCTTACCTCTTGAGAGAAGTGGGGTAGTAAAGGCTGCTGGTGATGAGCGTGGGGGACTGGGTGGACATGTAGGGGACAGCCCTGGTCCTAGGGTCACTAGCCCTTCACTAGATTCGGGGGGCCTAAAGTTGAAAGGCAACCTCCCATCCCTTTTGTACTCTGACCTTTACGTTCCAGGMACATGGTGAGTGAGTGCACAAATAATACTTAACTAGAACCACATTTAGTTATAGTTTTAGCCTCTTCTTTTTCAAATAGCTAAACTGAGGTACAGTCAAGCTGAGGAAAATTGTTCACCATTACAAAGCCACTTAGTAACAGACCAGATTCCAAATGTGCCAGCTGATCTTTACACTCATTCTGCCTTCTTATTGAAATGGAAAAATAATTTCTGGGCAGGAGATATTTAAAGTACAAGCTCTTTAGAGAAAGGAGACATGGCGCTGGTGAGCTACAAACAGAAAGCTTGATGTTTAGACTATGTTTAGTTAGACTCATATTTTTTTGGAAGCAGGGAAATGATGCAGAGGAGATTAATATGGTTGAAGCAACCTGGATTYAGAAAACACACCCTTCTATTAAAGGTTTGTGATGTGTTAGGAGATCAATAATGGGTGAATCAGGCAAAAAAAGATCCAACATGAAGATCGGGGACTTCAGAGTCAAAGAAGCTGGCTCAAGTGTAACATCAGTTGTGCAATTGAGTAACTTCTCTCTGAGCCTCAGTCTTATCAGTGGAGTAGGAATAATAACAGTGTCTGGCTACCGGGGCTGTGAGAACCTACTCATTTAGCAAATCTTTATTGAGTCCCTTCTCTGTGCCAGGCAACAGACAATATCCAGAACAGCAAATAGGACACACCAAGTTCTACTACCCTTAGTTCACTCTGGAGAAGTACAGGTAAACAATGAATGAATAAGGTGATTTCAAATACTAAGGTTACTATGTGTTAAAAGAACTTTAGATAATATAAATTTAACAGGATTTAATCAAGCAAAGAATGACTCACAAACCAAGCATCCCTCAAAACCAGAACAGGTTCAGAGAGATTTGATTTGGAACGTGGGCAGGCAGCATTTATGGGCAGAAAATGCAAGTGAGGTACAGAGCCAGCTTGACTAGTAACAGCTCCGGATTTGCCTCATCTGAACTTGGTTGATCAGTTGGCCACCTGTGATTTTTATGAGGCTCAGCTACCATGATTGGCTGAGATTCAGCTATTTATTAGAAAAGTATATCCATCTGTTAGATATTCAGTTAGCTTACATACTCATTAGGTTATAGCTCATTACATAAGGACTCAAGTACAAAGGCATCCTCAGGCCAGATTTAGTTTCATTTAACATATGACACAAGTAAAAACAAGTAATAGAAGAAAATTACTTGATGGGAAGGGAGAAACTCTTTTATTCAGAGAGTCGAGGAAGGCCTTTGAAAAGGACAAGCAGCCATGAGAAGGATTCTCATTCAAAGCAGAGAACAGCAAAGACCCTGGAGGAGGTCTCAACAGGGTGTGTTTGAGAGACAAAAGAGAAGGCCATTGTGGCAGGAGCAGTGAGCAGATGAGACAAGATGAGGTCTGAGATGGAGGCAGTCACCTGCCCACAGAGGGCCCTAGAAAGCATGAGCAGGTGCTGGTGTTCCAAGTGCACTAAGGAGCCTTGAGAAGTCTCTGAGCAGGAACATTTTATATCCACAAAAATCATTTACTGTACATTTTAAGAAGGCTGTCTAGTCTGCTTTGTTGAGAATGAACTGGGGGAATAGGAAAGGAATCAGGAAAAGAATGGAGGGGACTGTGTTAGGGGCACAGGCAAGAGAACAGGATGGACATAATGGTGCAGAGAAGTGGACAGCGTAGTGGTTTGCTGTTGGTGGAGAGCCAACAGGACGTGTACGCAGACCAACTGCAAGTCAGGAAAGAGGAAATGCAGTGAGGTTGGGTGTGCTAAGATGGAAGAAGACTGAGCAGCCAGGCAGGATGGTGGAAGAGACCAAGAGTGCTGTTTGGCCACATCTCGACTGAGAAAAGAAGTTACAATTTCAGTAGAGATGCTGAGGGGCATTTATGTATAGGAGTGTGATGCTCAGAGGAGAGAAGAGAGGACTGGCTGAAGGAAAGTGTGCTGGGCACCAGGCACAGTGTGTGCATGTTTCCTCTTTTCTGCTTCATTGGTCAGTGAACAGAACAAAGAGTTTAGAAATAGATTCCACCACGTTGAAAAGGTTTTTCTACATGATGAAGTGAAATTTCACCTGTGCTATGAGGTTGTCCTGAGGACTACATGAATTAATACTTATTAAGATGCTTTTAAGAAGTCCCTGGCACACCTTCAGTCCTCATTGCATTTTATTTCAATGCAGATGGAGAAGTCGTATGGGGTCTTTGCATAACCTGCTGTCCACCTTGAAAAAAACGTCAGCTGCTCAACTTTACGCTTAAGTGAAGATACACTTGATGTCAATAAAAAATGTACAAGAATAAAAATCGAACTACAAACGTGTGAGGAAAAAAAAAATGTGGATGACCTGCCTTTTCCCGCTACCCAGAAAAACTTGACTCTGACGGGATAACACAGCTGTCAAGGAGCAAGCGAGCGGAAGAGGAAGACACTAAGTTCCAGACCTTGCCGCCCTTGCCTGGTCAAGAACCTCGCGGAGGGTTCAAGCGGACCAGGCAGAACAGAGGACGCTGGTCCAGGACAGTGGTGAAGGCGAGCTCCCTGGCTGGGCACGCCTGCGCGCCAGGCGGGACGCGAAGGAACCCGGAACCTTTAGCTGCGGGTGCCCGTTTCCGACAGGAACTTGAATTCTGAGGCCAACGCTGATGACGCTAAAAGCCGACATCCGGCGTCTCTTTTTTTCGCTTGGTCTCCGCGGGAAGTGGTAGTGAAGATGAGGCAGAAGCACTATTTGGAGGCTGCGGCGCGAAAGCTAGTCGAGAGCTGCCCGGGCCAGGCCCGCTATCTCCTGTAGGAGAGGGACGGAGGGGAGCGGAGCGGGCGGGAGGTGTTCCTTTGCTCCTRACGTGTCTCTTTCTCTTTTACAGCTGGGCCTACAGTTCGTCACACGGTAGGGAGGACCCCTGTCTGTCGGGGGGTTAGGTCCCGTTGTCCTGCTGTGCCCATTCCACACAGCGCTCCGAGTGATCTAAAAGAGAAGGCTGATCGACTCACTTGTCTCGTTTTAAAAGCAAAACAAAGCGGAAGTTCCCCAGTTTTATGAGAAATCCACATTCCTGAGTGTGCCTTATCTTGCTTGACATTGGACACATTTTTCAGTGTTTTCGAAATAGTTTCCATTTGGCCCCCAGGTCATCACATTTCATCTTTGACCTTTTCCAGCACTTGTTGATCTGCTTTGCTGATTCCTCCCAGTTCTGCAACTTCTAAATATTACAGTGGATCCAGACTCAGCCCTTGGACCATTTTTCGAGCTACACTCACTTGTCTGCTGATCGTTTTTCATCCAGTCTCATAGTATTTAAATACCAGGTCTACCAAGTTCTAGCCCCAACCCCCTCCGAATTGGAGACCCACGTCAGATGCCTTCTTGACAACCTCTTTTGAATGTCTAGTATGCATTTCAAACTTAACTGTCTAAAACCTGAGCTTAACCGCCAACAAGTGCCTTGGTTGTTCCCGTTTCAGTAAGTGCTGACCCTGAGAGTTATTCAGCCCAAACTCTTGGAGCCACTCTTGACCCCCTAAAAACCCTCTTCTCCCCCATCAATATGCTTGCAAATTCTGTTTGCTTTAAGATTTCCCAATTGTAGCCGGCACAGTGGTGCACACCTGTAATCCTACTGGCTTGGATGCTGAGACAAGARAAATACAAGTTCAAAGCTAGCCTCAGCAACTTAGTGGATCCTTAGCAATTTAGAGATTCCCTSTCTCAAAATAAAAAGTAAAAGGGCTGAGGGTGTGGCTCAGTGGTAAAGGGCCTCTGGGTTCAATCCCCTCTACAAAAACAAAACAAACATAAAAAACACCAAGTCTAGCCAATTTTTACTGCATCCACTGCCTTTCCTGGATTACTGCCAGCAGCTACCATGCATTCATACAGTCTGTTCTCAAACCAGCAGCCAGAGTGACTGAGATTAAAAAACAAAACTAGATCATGACCCTTCCCTGCCATAAAAGGCTTCCCATGTCAGAGTAAAAGTCYTTTAGAAAGATTATTCAACCCTATAGGATAGGCCCACATAACTTCTCTGACCTGTTCTCATTTGTTCATTTGACTTCAGCCTTGTAGGTTGGCCTCCTTACTGTTTTTTTGTTTGTTTGTTTGTTTCAGAGCCTTTGGAGCTGCCCTGTCCCCTACCTAGAACTCTTGGCTCACAAACCTGCTTTGATTCCTACCTGTAAATGTCACTTAATGAAGCCTTCCCTAGACATCCTATTTAAAATTACAACACACTCTGTTCTTTCCTGTCTTACATTTTTTTTTTTTTTTTTCCTGGCAGTACCTAAAAGGTGCCTCCTTAGATTGTGGTCCTTTGTTTAGGGCTGTATCTCTAACACCCACAACAATATCTAGCACTTAGTAGTCACTCAGTAAATATAAATGAATCTTTTACATTTGGCAGAGGTAAGTTATAGACATGTCTGTCCTTTGATCATTTATAGTACTCTTGTTCTTGCATCTCTAGAACAATGCTCAACAGTAGGTACTCAATAAGCATTGGTTGTGCTAATTGTTTATAAAAAGAAAATCGTACTATAATTTGTTTTCTAAAAAGTAGTGACAAGTAATGAGCCAGGTAGCAAATATTGGAGACCTAGCCTGTCTGTTGAAAGGAGTGAATGGATGGAATTGTAGAATTTTGCAAAATAAATTGTTGCTAGTTCTGTGTTTTTGAGATTTTTGTATTTTAAATTTGCTTAAAGAATACATATTGTCTGCTCATGCCAGTACCTTTTATTCTTAATATTTTTAATGTCAACTGTTTGAGATAATAGAATAGTTCAGTTTACTGAATCGTTTCATTTGCATAATTTTAGATGACAAGAGCACTTTTGAAGAAACATGTCCATACTGTTTCCAGCTGTTGGTTCTGGATAACTCTAGAGTGCGTCTCAAACCCAAGGCCAAATTGACACCCAGAATACAGAAACTTCTTAATCGAGAAGGAAGAAATAATACGCTCAGTTTTAAAGAAGCAAAAAAAGTCAAAAAGTATAAAGACTCCAAAAGTGTATTGGTAAGATTTCAGTTCCAGTATATATTAATAAGTTGTGATTCCTTTCTGTCACTTAGAATAATGTTAAGAATCAGCCTATAACTCAGAAATTTGTAGTAGTATATCTGGATTATTATATACATAAAATTTTTTTCTAGTGATTAATGTTTCATCAAGAGTACATTTGTTTAATTTCATAATTACCTCAAAACTAAACATTGTATGTTGTTAATTTTTCTCAGATCTCATTGGTGAACAGTTAAAATCACAGTTAAAATGTCAGGATTTCTTGGACATATCAGAATGACTCCATTTGAACTGTAATTACCAACCACTACACTGTTTTTCAGTTAACAGTTCTTTTCTTCACACTGCTGTATTTTATGTATGTAGGTATTAGTGTCCTTTGTTCATTCATTTCCCCCATGTTAGTGTGTAACTACTTGTTTGCCCAACAACAGGTGAGTGTCTTGCATTCATTCAGTATTCTGTTATATGCCACTCAGTGCTTAGTACTAAGGATATAAAATGGAATAAAACAAAATCAAATTACTTATGGTTTACTAGGTGGAGGCCAGAGTCAGATGTATTTTGTATCCTTCATATTTCAAGAATCCAGATTCAAGTGGAAGGCACTGCTGGATATTGGACATTATAATAGCTTAGGTTTGGCCCAAGACTATAATTAGTAATAACTTGAATTAAAAATTGCCATATTTAGGAGTTTACCAGTATTGGACAAGTAAGTGCATTTTGTTTTGTCATAAAATCAAATGTTCAAAGGGTAAGAGAGAAAATAGTGGAGTAAGTAGAATTTACTCTTTCTCTTTGGAGAATTATATTTTTCAAAAATTATCACTGCCACATATTTGTTAAATGTTCCTAAATGGGAAGATAATAAGTGCTTCCTTGTTGTCTTCCAGTGTTTTAACTTCATGAAACTTACATTCTGATGTATTTTAATTAAAGGTCAGCTAAAGGATGCTAGGGGTGTTGATTTTGCTGATTTATTTTGACCTCTTTTAAAGCCTCTTTTGGAAAAATATAAAGCCAAACAGTTCTGAAGATATCTCACCTAAACCAGTTTATATTGTGTTGAAGCATGGGCTGAATTCTGTGCATTTTGAGTGAGAGGTGTAGAAGAAAGGCATTAGCTAGACAATGGACCATTTCTTTAAAAGATTAATCTTTTTAAAAAAATTTTTTTTATCAGTTATTGATGGGCCTTTGTTTATTGATTAGTTTATATGTGGTGCTGAGAATCAAACCCAGTGCCTTACACATGCTAGGCAAGCACTCTACCACTGAGCCACAACCCCAGCCCTAAAAATTAATCTTGAAGAGAAAGTCAACCTCTAAAGCTAATGACAGGAATGAAGAGGTGTGAGAATATTGATAATTCATTTGTTTTTATAAATTATTGTATAACTATTTACAGAATTGCTAAGGATTTAAAGGGGGCACTTAAATTTTCAGTGATATTCTACTGTTTTATTGGGAAAAGACTTAAAGTTCATCTGCAAAAAATATTAAATGCCTATTGATTTTACAAAGAACATTCAAATGTTAGAATGTTGTTCCTAGTCTCCTTCCTAATTCCCCCCAAACATGGTTTGTGTTGAGAAACTAGTGAGCTCATTATCTGTAAGGAAAAAAAAACAAAAACAAAAAACTCTTTTAAAACCAATATGTTTAACCATTAATTTTTTGTTGAAAATTTTCTAATGTTAAATTTGTCTTTGTCTTATTCCTACTGCTAAATTGCCGTCTCCCAGAGGGCAGCCTATGTGTTATTTATTTCTGTAGCAACCAGACGTAAGAATCCAGGGAACATGTGKTTTATTGGATAAAATATAACCCATGTTTCTTCTTTTTTTGGTAGTTGATTACTTGTAAAACATGCAACAGAACGGTTAAACATCATGGTAAAAGCAGAAGCTTTCTATCCACATTGAAGAGCAGTCATACCACTCCTATAAGCAAACTCAGCCCTAAGAGACCAGAGAGACAGTCTCCAAGTTTTGCAAACTTCACTCCTAATATGCCTGGCTCCAAAGGCAAGAGCCCAGCATTGATTTTCAGGTATCCTAATTCATCTTTTATTTGAATTGTCAGTGTGAACTCAAGAATTTCTTCTGATTTCCTCTGTTTATACTTCTGAATATTATATGCAGATCAGGCCTTGGCCCCATTTCACCTCCATACCTTTTTCTGCTTTGATGTCACACATTTCTATATCTTCAACTCTCATTTTAGTACATATGAATTCTAAGTACAATACGCTTTCAGTCTCTCCCTGGGTGTATTTTCAACTGCCTGTTAAATATATTCACTCTTATATGTCCAAAACAGCTAACCACTCAGAACTGCCCATCCTCATAGTTCCTTATTCTGTGAATGAACATGTCGTCTCCGATAGTCCTACCTTAAAAAAAGGCAGAATAACCAACAACTCCTGTTCCCGTGGTCCTTGTAATAAATTTCTATCTAGTCTCATTCCATACTATTTACATCTATTTTCCTTTTCCCCTCAACTGCTGGTGTTCCTATTCACTTTTTATTAGGACTATTACTGAGATTTCCTAATGGGTCTTCTAGCTTCTAATTTCAAGCCCTTCTAGTCTGATCATCTTCCTGAAGTACAGCTTTGATTAGCAGCCTCTAATACCTAATTGCAACATATGAATCAAATACTCCAGCATGGCTTTCCAGCCCTTATTATACAGCACCAACTGACTGTCCATCTTACTTTGCCTTAGTTCATGTTATGTGCCAGGAAAACTGAATCACTCACAGTATACTTTCCTGCTTAAGCCTTTACTTTTGTTCTTTCCTCTATCAGAAATCCTATGGAAATTTGACTAAATAGGGATTTTTCAAATAAGTCTGAATACATGTTTTTATTTTAGTAATTCTTGATTCTTTAATCACTAAGTTTAAATTTAATTCCATAGAAACTATAAAAGGAATCTTGGGACATTTTGCTGCAACAGAGAAACTGAGTCTTGAATATTAATAATGAAATCTAGCAAGGACTGAATTATCTCTGTTTGTGTATTGAATTTTTTATATTGGGCTTGAAGTTTATAAAATTAGGTTAAAAATTAAAATAAAATTTCAAGTCAATTTTCCCTACTTTTGATTTAATTATTTTGATATTTAGTGTAGTAAGAACTTAATAGCAATTTTCACTTTATTGGATAAATGTGGGTGAGAGAAAGTTTGGCTTATTTAAAAGAATTAAGTTGCATTTACACAAGACTATAGTTGGCCTTTTGTATCTACTGTTCTGCATCTGTAGATTCAGCCAGTAGTAGATTGCATACTGGATTTTATTCAGAAAAATAAAATTATGTCTGTACTGAATATGTACAAACTCTTTGTCTTGTCACTATTCCCTAAATAATACAGTATAAAAACTCTCTAGGGCTGGGGATGTGGCTCAAGCGGTAGCGCGCTCGTCTGGCATGCGTGCGGCCCGGGTTCGAGCCTCAGCACCACATACCAACAAAGATGTGTCCGCCAAAAACTAAAAATAAATAAATGTTAAAAAAAAAAACCTCTCTAAAGCATTTACCTTGTATTAGGTATTATAAGTACTCTAGAGATGACTTAAACTCTTTAGGAAGGTATGCATAGGTTATATGCAAATACTGAGCCATTTTATGTAACGGACCTGAGTATCTATGGATTTGGGTATCCATGGTGAGTCCTGGAATCAAGTACCCTGTGAGTACCAAGGAACCACTGTTCTTCTTAGATGAATAAATGCAAGAATGGTAGGTACTGTACATATACTGTATAGATAGGGAATCAAGAGAGAGCTCAGACCCCAGGTAAGGATTCAAGGGGATAGAACACAGTTGGAGGAAGTGAAATTAACTCATCCTAGATGGGGAATTATTTATTTAATGGACATTTCTAGATGCTTTCTATGTGCCTGACACTGTCAAAAAGTACTATAATGCGAAATTAGTAATATAATGTCTGCCCTACAGAGCTGACAATCTGGTGGGGAAGATACAGTGGAAAGGTACCTTTGTGTGTTGGTTGAGATCCTTCACTTTGGAGATCCTTCACGTTTGAGCTATGAAAAAGGAATATGTTTTAAAGTCCTTGTTTAGAATTTTATGAATGTATAACTTCAGGCTCAAAGAGAACTCAGATCTGATAACACTGTACCTATAGGCCAACTGCCCTATATACCTCCTAAATGTTGTCCATAGCCTGATATTTCACGAGGAGATGTTTTAAAAATAGGAATGACTTCTGAGTACAGCCACTGCCCATATATAGCCATAATACAAAAGACTAAGAAATTATTGTAGTAGCACTTATCTGAACAGGAAGACTATTTTGTCACTTGTCATTATAACTTAGTTTTTTAAATTTTTTTATCTTTATTTTTTTTCAGAACACCTACATCTGGACAATCAACACCCATTTGCTCCTCAAGGAGTGTGAAAAAAGGAAAGAAACACTTCTCTCAACTAAAAATGTTGCTTAGTCAAAATGAATCCCAAAAAAATTCAAAGGTAGACTTCAGAAATTTCTTATCCTCTCTATGAAGTCTTTTGGACTTTGAAAATAAGAAATTTTTCTAGTACAATTTCTAATTAATAATATGAAAAGTTTTTTTTAAATTTATTTATTCTTTGAATACATGGAAATTAGGCAGACTTTTCTTGGCATTCTTCAGTGTAATAGGGAAAACATCTYATTAGAGTGAATAACTAAAACATCACAGGTGGCCATTGAGGATCAAAAAATACATGAAAGTTCTTGTAAATAGTAAGGATATATGTGGACATTGAATGATAGTATTTTTTTCCTCCTTTAGTTTTAACAGTTTTCATTATGTCATTTTCTTTCAAAATAAAATTGAGAACTTAATGAGAGGGTCTGTCATTCATGCGGATTTCTTCTGCACCTGTGTAGCCTTATCAGAAAACGAATCCAGTGTGTACTATTTTCTCATTCATATACATAATTATATGAGTAAAATCTTAGCATTATTCCTATTTTGAATGCAAAAGTAAGTACCTTGTACATTCTTTTTTTTTTTTTTTTTAACTCTTATTTATTTTTAGGTGTAGATAGACACAACACAATGCCTTTATTTTTATGTGGTGCTGAGGATTGAACCTGGGTCCTGGCCGTGCTAGGCAAGCGCTGTACCACTGAGCCACAATCCCAGCCCCTCGTACATTCTTTTTTTAGTGGTGTCGGGGATTGATCCCAGGTCCTCATGCATGCTAGGCATGCTCACTAGCACTGAGCCATACTACCAGCCCAACACTCTTGATTTAGGTGATTTACAAGGTATAGAAATTTCCCTTTTATAACTTTATATTGTTTCTATAGTAATATTTTAAATTTGCTCTAGAGATAACTCATTTCTAGGTCTAAAAACTGTATCAGAACATTAACAGTTTTGCTACCTTAAATCTTTCTGAAATTTATAAATGTATACACACATATTTTATTAAAATATAAATTAATTTTAATAAAAATTTATTAAAATTTTATTTTTTAATGATAAACTAAAATTGTATTCCACCTGTCTTAAGCTTTTCAGAAAAGGGAACCTTTACCTGGGCATGGCAGCACATGCTATAATCTCAGCTACTTGTGAAGCTGAGGCAGAAGGATTCTAAGTTCAAGTCCAGCCTCAGCAACTTAGTGAGACCCTATCTCCAAGTGAAAAATAAAAAGGACTGGGAATATAGCTCATTGGTAAAGCACCCCTGGGTTCAAGTCCAAGTACCACAAAAAGAAAACAAAGATGGCTGGGGATGTGGCTCAAGCGGTAGCGCGCTCGCCTGGCATGCGTGAGGCCCGGGTTCRATCCTCAGCACCACATACAAAAAAACAAAGATGTTGTGTCCGCCAAAAACTAAAAAATAAATATTAAAAAAAAAATTTCTCTCTCTCCTCTCTCACTCTCTCTTTAAAAAAAAAAAAAAAAGAAAGAAAACAAAGAAAGAGAACTATTATACACTACCAGTGGTAATGAAAGTTGGTACAGCCATTTGGAAAAGACTGGGAATGTGGCTTAGTGGTAGACTGCTTGCTTAGGTTCAGTACCCAGCATTCAATCCCACTCTGGGTATATATCCAAAGGAACTGAAATCTATATGTTGCAGAGATGTCAGCTCTCCCATGTTTGTCGCAAGTGTTATTCACAGTAGTCAAAATATGGAAATGACCCAAGAGCCATCAGTGGACAAATGAATTTTTTAAAGATACCTTTATTATCAATTTTTATTTATTTATTTTGGTACCAGGGATTGAACTCGGGCACTCGACCACTGAGCCACATCCCAGCCCTATTATTAGACAGGGTCTCACCTAGTTGCTTAGTGCCTTGCAGTTGCTGAGGCTGGCTTTGAACTCTCAATTCTCCTGTCTCAGCCTCCCAAGCCGCTATGGTTACAGGCATGTGCCACTGTGCCTGGCTATTTTTATGTGGTGCTGAGGATTGAACCCAGGGTCTCACACATATTACACAAGTATTCTACCACTGAGTTATATCCCCAGTCCAACAAATGGAGTTTTTGGGGGGTTGGGAGGTACTGGAGATTGAACTCAGGGGCACTCGACCACTGAGCCACATTCCCAGTCCTACTTTTATTTGATTTAGAGACAAGGTCTCTGAGTTGCTTAGCACCTCACCATTGCTGAGATTGGCTTTGAACTTGCCATCCTCCTGTCTCAGCCTCCCAAGCCGATGGGATAACAAACTGCACCACCATGACCTAACAACAAATTGATTTTTAAAATATGAAATACATAGTGGAATACTATTCGGCCTTTTAAAAGCAGGAAATTCTATCATTTGCTACAACATGCATGAACTTACAGGACATCCTGCTAAGCGAAATAAGCAGGGCACAGAGAGACAAATCTTGTATTTTCTCATGTGGATCCAAAACAGCTGAACACAGAAGTAGAGAATAGAATGGTGGTTACCAGAGGCTGAGAGAGAGATTGTTCAAAGGATACAAGGTTTCAGTTAGGATTAAGTTAATGTATACTTCAAAATAACTAAAAGATTTTAAATATAGTCACCACAAAGAAATGATGAATATTTGATATGATGCATGTCCATCAGCTTGATTTAATCTACAATGTACACATGTAATGAAACATCACATTGTACCCTGTGACCATATAAAATAATAAAATGGATGCACAAGAACGCCATGTTTGGTGAATCTCATAAGTTGTACTGAAAAAGAAAAATAAAATACTTTGAATATTAATCTGGTTCCTCTCTGCTGCTTGAAAGTTTGAAACTTAAATTTTCATGTATTAGGGCCTGACAAACTGAAAGGCTAAGATTAACCAGTTGGAAATTATGCTAACAAGAACAAGCACCACAACAGTGGCAAACTGGGACAGGCTTTCCCTTTGTATCCACAAACACCTACCACTACCATTCTTAATTGGGCTTCTAACCACCTTAGGCTCATAAAATACTGAAAAGCTGAGGAAGGATTCTGCAATGGATAATCTTAGGAAACATGTGCCTCTTACTGGTCACTACTGACCAGTTGGCACTATTTTCAAAGCTGTGAGCAACCCATCAAACTCTTCATTAAGTCAGATTGCAGAGGCTGGAGTTGTTCAGTGGTACACGAGCACTTGCCTAGCATGTGTTAGTCACTGAGTTCAATTCTTGGCACCACATAAATATAAATAAAGGTATTGTGTCCATCTACAACTAAAAAAAAAAAAGCAATGTTTTTCAATTCGTCTTCCAACGGTCAAATAGTGATGACTTCCTGAAGTTCTTATTTTATTCATAAAAGATAGAAAAACATTCAGAAGGCATGTTTAAGGATGTGGCATGAGTTGAGACATAATGAATACTCAAGAGTTCTTTCCCCCACCCCCAGACAGGGTCTCACTAAATTGCCCAAGCTGTCCTTGGCCTCCAAATCACAGGCATTATAGGTGTGTGTGTAAGCAACTTAGCAAGACCCTGTCTCAAAAAATATAAAGGGTGAGGGATATGGTTCAGTGGCTAAGCACCCCTTGGTTCAATTCCCAGCACTGGAAAAAGAAAAAAAATTATAACTTTAAAAATACCTATCTAATGTATCTGAACAAGCCAATGGCTCTGAGTCACGTCCCTTTATATTTTTTGAGACAGAGTCTCAAGTCGCTTAGGGCCTCACTAAATTGCCAAGGCTGGCCTTGAATTTGCAATCCTCTTGTCTTAGCCAAATTGTTTTTTGAGTTAAGATATACATGGTGTATAGTATACATTTGGTAACTTTTAACTATAATCTGACAATTAAATACATTGRCATTGTTGTGCATACGTTGCCACCAATCATCTTTAGAACGTTTTTTAACTCCTGAAGGCTGGGGTTGGGGCTCAGCAGTAGAGCGCTTGTCTAGCATGTGCAAGGCACTGGATTCGATCCTCAGCACCACCTCAGTTCAATCCCTGAAACGAGGCGGGGGTGGGAGGAAACACCACAACAAAATACTTTGCATAACATCCTTCCACAAGCACCCATCTTTCAATGGTGCTTTTAGTTTTTTTTTTTTAATTTGAATACTTGCATAATTTTAATTTCTTTAACCTGTTATGCAAAACGTAGACTTGGTGATAGTGGGGCTGCTACCCCATATATCAATATAAAAAGCAGCATCATGGTTACAGAGTATAGGATTGGAACTACACTCAGAATTGGGTTTGAATCTTTGTTCAACATTTGGCTTGTCATGAGTCCTGCTGAACTTACACTGTCTTAGTTACCCATATGTAAAATGGCATAATCAATCTATCACAGAGCATATCACAGTACTTAGAACAGTTCCTGGTGCATAGAAAGCATTCTTACTTGTGTGAGCTGCTTTCTCAGTCAAGCTTTTTTGCCACTATGACCAAAAGACCGGAGAAGAACAATTTTAGGGGAGGAAACATTTATTTGGCGGTTCATTGTTTCAGAGGTCTAAGTCCATATAAGGCTGGCTCCATTCCTTGGGGTTTGAGGTGAGGCAGAACATCATGGTGAAAGAGTGTGGTGGAGGGAAACAGCTGGGAGCATGGCACACAGGAAGCACAAAGAGAGACTCCACTTACCAGATACAAAATAGACACCCCAATGATCCACCTCTTCCAACCACCCTATCTGCCTTCAGTTACCACTCAATCAGTCCCTACTAGGGGATTAATTCACTGATTAATTCTCTCGTAACCCAATTATTTCAACTCTTAGTCTTCTTGCATTTTGGTGGGGGACACCTCACATCCAAACTATAAAAGCTGCCATTATTATATCAAGTAGGCTTTGTAGGGCATTGTTTCTCAAAATACTGTCCATTAATTACATGTGTCAAAAGATTTGTATGACTTGTTTTAAAATCCAGATTTTTTTGATCTATTTCTAATCTTTTCAAAACATAATCTCTGAATAAAAATCTACTATTGCAGACAGGGAGAAATGGATAGGAATGAAAAGCACCTGAATTCAAGTAAAGTGACCAGATGTCATCTCGGAAAGGATTACCAGGGATATTATCCAGAGGACTATATCTCCAAACTTTCTAAGTTAGAAGAATCAGAAAGTTTTGACTCTATAGATATATCTTCCTTTTGCAAATTCCCCAAAGTTTAATAAAAGAAGTTTGGCAAACACTGCTCTAGAGAGTCCCATAGGTTTTTAGTATTCTCCAAATTTACTTTGAATTCAAGATGTGACGAGAGCATGTGCGCTAGGCAATTAAAGGTACCAAGTCAATCTGTTTACTTGAAAGCATGTAATAAGCACTAGTAAGCATCAGGTCACAAAAGGTCCTGTTCTCTGCCCCAAAGGAACCTGCTACTGTGAACTGTAAACCCATATTTTATTACCTGGAATTATTTAAATATTTTAAATCATGAAGCAAGTTGCAGATTTCAAAGTTGGTTCAGAGCAGCAGTTATTCACATGTGGTCCCTAAACCCAGCAGCATCAGCATGAAGTTGTTAGAAGTTGTTAGAAAAGTGAACTATTAGGTCTCACTCCAACTTACTGAATCAAAGCTGTGTATAGCTCCCAGCCTTCAACAGTTTTAATGCTCCAGGTGATTCTGATGGTTCCTCAAGTTTAGGACCACTGGCCAAATCCAGCAATCTCCTCAGCATTTCTTTGCCATTATATCACTGAACACTTCCAGGACTTTGCTTCCCTCCTAGTCCATTATTTCCCTCCACCCCCACATCCAATAATTCAGATTCACAAAAACAACCTACAAAATAAACCTTTGAAAAGAACATAAAACTTTATTAAGAACATCTTATACTGTAATCAGATACAGCCAAAGAAAAGGGGTAAACAAACAGGGAGAGTTCATCTTCCCATGTGCTACTGCCACCTCAGAACAGACTCATGTGGATGGCTGGAATTATAGTTGGCAACAAATGCTCTGTATAAATAAACTCATCAAGTAACACAATGTTCCCTTTCTATACAGAGAAGAACTGGGTTTACACTTTAAAAAGCTTTGATATAGTGCAACAGCTATGAAACAAGACTACATCTTTAGGAGCTATTTCTTAATAGAATACAAAGCAGTTTAGTAACTTTATGTTATTTCATATTATGTAAATTTTTAGAATGGAAAATTCAGAAAGGACCTTCTATCTTTCCCTAAAATAAGTTAATTTGTACTTTTGAGGTTTTTTTTT